GCCTACAGTATTTTTACAGTCTTTATTTTACAGTTAAAATAAATGTTTATTAAATAAAGTTTAATGTTAGAACTAATCCTGGATCCCTTTAATGATAATAACAAAGCTGCAGACTGAGCTCACCTGTCACCTGGATGTTTTGTTCTTCAGACTGGTTTATTTTCAGGTTCTAACACCAACAATCAGAACCAGGTCTTGATTATAAAAGCTGAAGAACCTGTTCTGAGTGACGCACAAACAGCTTCCTCATTTTATTAACACCTGCACAGAAACAGATGTTTTTAACATTTACCTGYGGATATTACCAGGTTTAGCCTTGTCCCATGTTGACCCGAGACTCACCTGCTTCCTTTCAGACACCTGGATATCTCCAGGGAGGGCCGGCGAAACACCAAGTTTAAGATGACCAGGAAGATCCTGACGGCCCTGGTCCAGAGACTGGTCCACCTGGTGTCTCTGGACCTGTCGGGACACGTCATGCTGGACAACTGCACCGTCCCACACTTTGAGGAGGCCATGGGCCGTCCCAGGTGAAGAGCCGACTCGCCTGAGAGTCGAAATGCTGAGTCAGCGTTCTTCTTCTGCAGACATCRCTCTGTTTCGGCTGTTTTATATCAGAGCCTTCGGCTCGTTCAGCAAGTGGCTGATGTGACGTTTGACTTTTAAAATAATTGATACTTTTCTAAAGATATAACATTGACCTTTGAAAACATTTAGCTACTTCTAGCTACAGCTTGCTAATTTTAGCATCTGTTTAGCTAAGTTTCAGAACTGATTTACTACTTTGTGTTCGTTTACTGATTTTATGTCCTGTTGCCTTGATTTTAGCTTTTATTCTGYTGATTTTTCTGATATTACCTTTTTGTTAAATTTTAGCTTCTGTTTTGCTGATTTTACCTGTAACAGTTCCTCTTAAATCAGTCGTTCTGGGTTTAACAGTAAAAGTGGGTTCTCTGGTTCTGGTTCTGGTTGTGTTCCAGTGTGGAACCCTGTAAGAGCAGCATCATCCCGCTGCAGGAGCTGAAGAGGCCTCTGCAGTTCCTGGGTCTGTACGACACCACGCTGTGTAACGTCACACACATCCCCGCCTACAAGGTACCGCTTCCTCCCTCACCTGATCACATGACCACCTGATCACATGATCACTTGACCACCTTATCACTTGACAACATGATCACCTGACCACCTGACCACTTGACCAACTGATCACCTGATCACTTGATCACCTGACCACCTAACCACTTGATCACCTGACCACCTAACCACTTGATCACTTGATCACCTGATCACCGGATTACTTGATCACCTGACAACCTAACCACCTGATCACCTGACCACTTGATCGCCTGACCATCTGATCATTTGATCACTTGATCACCTGACCACCTGATCACTTGA